GATTTACCGATCGCGTGGGACACGTGTGTGTGTATTCAGCATGCGGATATACATATGCGTGTGTGCACGCACAAGCGCGTAAATAGCCGATAGTGTGACGCAATTATATTTGATCATTCTATACGGCCTGTGTTCTCGCCGGGAGACAAGATAATGCTCCAACGATTGCGTCAGTGACCGTCGTCGTGTATACGCTGAAGCATTATACGCTTGTGCACGCGTGTGTACATATAACCTTTCGGCTGTACACACACATACACACACACACACACACACATATCTAGGTTTTCGTTATTTCAGGCATCATTTAGTGAAATTCTTGTGCAACCCCCCATCGCGTAAAATATATTATTACGTGCCGAATGACTGACGCGACTGACTGCGAAACACAACTGCGTGACGTTACTTAACACTCGGTTTCGGAAAATTTTACAGCATTCAAATCCCAAACAACGTGAGTATAGTATTCTTCGAAGTCGGGATCTCGCGAAGCGAGAACAAAATTGTCCGACACTCCGATCGGGCATGTCCTCGGGCAATTTGTTTTTGGCGCGAAATTGTCAATCAAAAAAAAAAAAAAAAAAACTTAGGAGACAAGAACAACCTATACGATAACGAGACGTGCGCGTCCGGTACGTCTCTTAATCACCAATTAAAATATTCGACGAGAGTGTCATCGTCGCGACAATCAATACTTGCGTACATGGGTAGGCGCGGCCAGCTTTCGTACCACCGTGCGCGATTGCAATTTATCAGATTTTCTCCGAAAGAATTTTTTTAGAAATTTTTATTTTCTCCTCTTCAATTTCCGCGTGTCTTACAAGCGTGTTCGCAAATTCTGATCTCGCCAAGATGATCCGATGTTTGATCGAATAATCAATCTGAGAATGAGAAACGCAAAACTTTGTTGCAGCGTAATTCGATGCAGCTTGTTTGTTTTTTTCTTTCATCATCACGAGATGACTCGCGTCTGCGCGCGAGAGAGTCGGAGAAATGGCAATTTGTATCTTAAACGCGGCTCTCGAAGGCGCGGGAGATAAAAAAAAAGAGTGGGCGGCAACCGATACACAACGTTCGCCTAAAAGATACACGATCTGTTAGGTGAATAAAAAATGAGGGCTATCGTCCGCGCGTCGCTCCGAGCTGAGCGTGTGCAACGCTTACTGATTGTAATCCTCAGGTTGAATTATTTCGCGTTGCATAAAACGTATACAAAACGCATACACGATGAGTAACGAGACATCACGCGAAAAATATAAGCATGAAATATGAACTGATCGATAAAAATGCAAATTCAACCATCGGAGTATAATTTTGCCGGCGCGTGAGAAAACCTATCTAATAACTTAATGCGGGGACGTGCGCAAGCTGCGCGCCACACGCGAATGATTGCGAGTTTTTGCAAGTCTACAGATTTCCGTTAACGACGCAAAACCCCTCTCCTCCCCCCCCTCGCGTTGAAGGAAAACTGTCTAATAATATATTCCAAGCGAAATAACTTTCCCGATTCCTGGCGAGACGACGCGAGCGACACTCGCGTCTCGCGCGAGATTCTTCCCCGCGTGCACACACATCGCTCGTTAACAAGCAATCAGATAAAATCGCGGATGTTATGACCACGAGGGAGAGAGAGAGAGAGATAATGCGAGATATATTAATGACGCACGCGCGCGCGCGACGCGCAGACGAGTCCGATGGAAAATTTCGATTGCGGTAACGACGCGTGTCGCGTGCGCCTCCGCGGGCGGTGCGCACCCTCTTCCTCGCGCGAGATGCGCTACTAAATCGCGAAGATAGCGAAGAACGCTCCCGGGCAGAACCGTTACCTAGTTAACCACTTTCACGGCTGATATTTATTCTCGCGCGTATCCTTTGTGCCGACATTGCGCGCCGCGCGCGTTACGTAACACAGCTAATTAAAAAGTTTAAACTTACATATATCGCGCGCTAACTTTCACCCTATATTCACCGTCAAACGTCTCTCATCTCTCGCGCGAATCCGTTCTTCAATTCTTCTGTCCGCTCGCTTTCTTTGTCAATTAACATCCTCGCGTCACGGCCGAAACGTTTGTTTCGCAGGATAAAAAAAAAAAAACTTTCTACGAGTGCGCGAATAATAGAAACGCGGATTTAAGATCGCGCGCGGTCGTGACTTTTGACTCGCAAGAGGGAAATTCCAGAGAAGAGAAATAAAAGAGATTCTCGCCTCTCTATTTTCTCTCTTGTAAAAAGTATAAACAATGTTGTAAAGCACACACGCAAATGAAGAAATAGACAGATTCATTGAAGAGCAATAAAACTTAATGACAAAAAAATCAAAGAAATGTAAATTGCAGTTAAATTGATTAACATCATTTTTTATTGCTCTTTAATGGCCCATCTGTTTTTTTAATTTAATTCTTGTATTACATTCTTGTATTACAGAGTTTGTAATTGTAATTCGTTAATTACAAGGTATTTTTTTTTTTATATACAATCAATGGTTTCGTTATTAATTTGCGGCGCGATATTCAATGTTCGAAATCGCGGAACGCGCGTTTCAGCGCATTTGTCACGGGCGAGTGTGTCCTCGACTTTCAGAGAGAAACACACGCACACACTCATCCGCGCGCGCGCTCTTCTCTTCCCTTAGTTTTCCAATTGACGGATTACTTGAAATCAACCGCGGCTTTTCATGCATTCCAAATCGCGGCTCGTAAATGCAAATGCGCGCTCGAAGAAAATCGTTTGGATATATCGATGACGTGACTTTGTGAATCACGCGGCGCGGGTATACACGGCGCAGCAGCAGCAGCAGCAGCAGCACGGCGAGCAACTGGCATTCCTAGAGACACACGAGAATTTATTGTCGTTCTACGTGCCCCTTACATTTCCCGTAAAAGAAGAAAAACTAACGCCTATCGAGGCATAATTCACTGTTCCCCCGTCGGATTCTGTCTGGCGTTACATCGGTAATACTTCACCGATAACGCTCGACAATCAATAATGGCGCGGAAAAAAAAAATGAATGACCTTCGGCCAAAAGTAGCGAAACAAAAAAAGAAAAAAGAAAACCAGAGAGACTACAGGAGTACTATTTGTTACATCAAATAACTCCGCTAATTTTGTTTGCCACGTCAGTTGGTTATTTCCCGTACTTCGTCGATGCCGGGTTGATTCGCCGGGAATCGCTTTCTCCCGTCTTCCCGTTACACCCTCGAGTCAATATTTCTGAATTAATATCCCGGATTGTTTTTTTTTTTTTTTAGACGACTAGCTTACTGGTCGGCGCTGACGATTCGCGCGAAATATACCGTGAAATTCGCGAGACAAATATAACCTCTCTCTTCTCCCCTCTCCCCTCTCAATGCAGAATCGCATTAACATAGCTGATCGACGATATTTACTGACAATCTCAAACATCCCGATGGAATAGCATTGATTATTAATTAGATACGCATGTTAGATACGCGCATAATTCTGCAGCTTCCGGCACATGCATCGCTTTATGTCAGTCGACTCGGCTACTATCGCGTGCGCGCACGCGTATTATTACGTAATAAAAACAAGTTAATATCTATGTTGCAGAGATATTTTTGTGTCGAAAACTACGAGAGAAAAACTCAAGTTTATTTTGTTTCGCATCGTGTCAAAAACTTGCGCGCAAGTTTTTCTCCGAACTCTTCAATTGCAACAAACGGTCCAATTAGATCGAGTTTGTTACTTTTACGACAGGAAGTTTGTTTTTTGTTTCTCAAATCCGACAAGGATGAGACTACTGTACAATATTAATTACGTAATACCGCGTGCACTTTGGTTTTCTTTTTTCTTTTGTTTTAATAATTTATTTCAAACGTCAATCTGCGCGTCCCGGTTTCCTTTAATGTAAATGGCCGGACATTATATCGTCCCATATATAATTATCGGTCGATAATGAGAGATTGTCAGGTCGTTTTCGATTGATTAGAACAGACAATAGGCAGTTGCCTGTGTGTATATGTGTGCGTGCGTGTGTGTATTGCGCGCGCTTGTGTATATCCGGCGCGGTTTGTGAGCATTCTGTTTGATCTCGCGCCGCGCGCCGAATCGCTCGCGCGCGCAATTTCGACTTCGCTATTAGAAAAATTGCAGGTAAATAGCCATTTGACGAGCGCGCCCGGCTTGATTGAGTGTTTAATGACAAAGGGGATGGGGAGCGATTTATCGATTAGAATCGCGAAGCGCGTGTGTTAGCGGCGGCGCCATTGCGCGCCATTGCGCAATATTTATGCGAGTGATAGATTAATAAAACTGTCGTTTAAACAAATATCTGAAAAATGGCGAACACGGGTAATTCAATTATATCTCGCGAGACATTTAAATAATGAACAATGGTATCTGTTAAAGCCAGCGGAAGGGTGCAACGGCCAGCGCAATTCCCACACGCGTCACACGCATGCGTTGTTCGAGTTAAAACAAAAAAAAAATACAACTTTTTATTTAAAACAAAAATCAATAACAAATTTACGCGACAACAGGATCCGCGTTGTCGCGGCTCTCGATCCTCTAATCTAACCGTAACAGAGTACTCAAATACTCACGCGCGCGACTGAAAAATATGACACGCGCTGTCAGCAACAGAAGTTTTTCATTCTTTCTCGATCGCGCGAGTCTGCCGAAAAAAACCTGGGAAAAAAAAAAAAAAAAATTGGATCGCCGCGCGCGTCGTTGAAGAAACTGTGACAATTGAGCAAGCAAATCCTTTAAACGGGGACCCGATGACATTTAGCGCGCTCGGTGACATGGTGATCTCGGGGAGAAGGGGGGGAGGAGAAGTGGTGGTCTCTCCTCTTCGATGTTGACGCGAAGTGTGTGTTGTCTCTCCGCCGCCGTACCCCGCGGGCTCCCCGGCGACACACATGCACCGCCGTTAAACGCACGGATCCGTGTAAACCCCTCTGTCCCGCATTACGGCCCCGCTTGTGTGTCCCATGTGCATCGTACTCGTAACATGGTGGCCATCGAGCCCGACGGTGGTGTTGGTAATGCCTTCGGGGGTATATATACGACGAGCGCTGCGGGGCTTGATAAACACTTGCCCGTCAGCGATTTCTGCCGCAACATGTACACGTCATTGGTAAGCGTTTAATTAAGAGGAAAAAAAAAAAACTTTTGGGTGTGAGACCCGCGGATAAGGTCGGTCGACTTTTCGCGAGATAAAGTTGCGAGATTTAAAGCCCGGGTCTCGTAATCGCGCGGCGGGTTTCGTGCGCGAATTTCGACGTGCGTTTTGGAGAAGGTCCCTGTGCGCGTGACGCTCTGTGAGTTAACGTTGTTGTAAGTGACACTTTCCGATTATTCGGTGTATATATATATATATATACATATATATATATATATATATATATATATATATATATATATATATATAATATATATATATATATATATATATATATAAAATATATATATATATGTATATAGTATGTATACTCCGAGAGCTCTCCGGGACTCTCCGGAATACGGTGGGTTAGAGAACGCGCGGAGCGCGGTGGGATCGGAGGGTAAGTAGCGTGTCCTGGAGGATCGGTGGGTAAGGATATCGATCGACGCCGTCGGGATACACCCAAAATTTGTCTCTGTGTTAACGCACGCTTTTGCGTATACGAAATATCTAGAGAGAGAAACGTGTGAATCGATTTCATCTTATTTACATCTCTTTCTCAACACTGTTGATCGTCTTTTGTAATATTTTAAATATTCGCGAAACGAAATATCTAAAGAAACTAAAAAAAAAAAAAAAACTGTGAATTTATAATTAAGAGAATTATGACACTGTATTGATTTGTATTGATTTATACGTAATTGTCAACGTCGTGCAAGTTTGTTTTATTCGAGGAGCAGCGTCCGACCTAATAACGCCGATACTACCGCGATCTCTGTCATGTCTGACTCAAAACGGTATCACTACTGTGGCGTTCGGCGCCCATTGATTCGTACAGCTCTTTCTCTCTCTTTCTTTCTCTCTTTCTTGGCCGTTCTATTTAAAAATTTTGTCACGTCGTAATTATTGATAAATTACAATTTAAGTAAATTAACAAAATTCTCGGTTGCGACAAGCAAAACTCGCGATGTGATTGATTTCACATATGTTTTTCATATATTTTGGCCATACTTGTAATCATGTGCTCATGTTGCTGATTTAATCGTTGATGAAATTTTTAAACATAAAAAAATCTCCGTCACTTTTTTACTATTAATTCTGTTGCATTGTGCACACACACACACGGCGCAACGACTGAAGCTAACCATTAACGCGTTTCTGCATAAACACTTGTGCAACGTTCAAACAAGGAAGCTGACGAAAAGGCTAACGTTCGTTTGATGTTTACGCGTTTAGAAATTTACTCGGTGGCGGTTGCTGCCGCCACTAAGGTCGCTTCATTCTTCGCGTCGAAATGATGTAACTTTCGCGGCAGATGTTTAGATTTACTTTTATCGTCGCGCGCGTCATCGACACTAAATCACATTCTCGTTCGTGATCGTACACGTTTTAATCGCGAGAGATCTCATCTAATATCGACAGGCGATGGATCGATCGGTAACTCTTAGGTAGGATTTAATTGTTTTATCTCTCATCTCTCTCAAGGATAAGCGTTACTTTTACTTTCAACACTCGGATCTCACGTGAAATCTTTTGCGAATTTATTCATTGAAAAAAGTGAGTTTCTCCTAACTTTGATGCAATGGCAGATACCGCGTGCGACTTCGCAATATGTCACGTTCAAGTGATTCCGATCAATCGAAATATGAACATCTAACTTTAGTTTTTTTTTGTGCAAAATTGAAAGTCGCGTAAGTAAATATTTTAACTTGTAAAATAAACTGAAGGGAAAAACTTTGAGGTCAATCAATTGCATTTATCGCCGTGACAATAAATCTGCCATCTCTCATCAGTATCTTCTAATAACAAATCGATCGCCAAATGGTTTAATAATGACGACAGTAAATGAATTGATAATGATCTCATCATTTCTTTATATAATTTTATAAACCCAATTAGTTTTACCGCAGGAAAATGTCACATTTGCGTCAGCAATATTGACTTCGTTAATTATACGTTTTAGATTTTTATAGATTAAAGTGCACATATTTATACGATTTTTCTATCTTCTTTAAATCGTATTTTTTTTTTGTTTCGCGGTCACAACAGATAGTCTTGATCGCGCTGGCAGCCTGCGCCGCGGCAGCGCCTGCCGAGGACGTGATACCGATCGTCAGTCAAAGTCAAGAGGGTCCCAACCCCGACGGATCGTACAAGTGGAGTTACGAGACTGGCAACGGTATCAAGGCTGAGGAGGAGGGTCATGTGGAAGACGCCGGCTCCGAGAACGAGGCGATGAAGGCGGAGGGCGGCTTCAGCTACAAGAGCGACGACAACCAGCAGATCTCACTTACGTACGTCGCCGACAAGAACGGCTTCCAACCGTCGGGCGCTCATTTGCCGACCACGCCGGAAATCCCGCCATTGATACAGAAGGCACTCGAGTGGATCGCGGCGCATCCGTCCAAGGAGGACGAGAACCAGGTTTAAATCTCGCGATCGGCCGCCGCCACGATCCACAGTATGTGATCTCACGATTTCACGCAATTTGCACTAAAAACGAGAATGGAAGATGATCCACGGTACATAATCGATGATGCCGAATGATGACGATGACGATGACAATGATGATGAGTGTTGCCACACCGCCCGCGTCGCTTCTCCTCCCCTTATTTCCAAACGAAACTCGGACTGCTCTGGTTCAAATTGTTGTAAATATTTATTGTACGTCTACGATATTACATATTACATATTCATATATATATATATATATATATATATGTATTTTAATATTATATTATATTATATATAATATGTATAAGAACGTGTACCATGACCGCGTAATTAATTTACGTCGTCTGATACATGTCACGGTGCATTAAGAATAAATATTGCATCCCAAGAGAGATGTTAAACGCTATTTCCATCTCGACATATATAAACGCCCGATCTCTTCGACGAGATACACGTACGAAAATGTGTATAACCTACCTACCCACGCGGCACTTCGAAGATCCTCGAGCCGTTTCCAGGAAGGATGCGGAAAAGCGGTTTTAGAAAGCGCGGGTTAGCGGTGACGTCACATCCATCCTCGTTCCGCGAATCAAAAATTAATTCGCATCCTTTATTCCTCCTCGAGTTGCAAAATATTTTTTATATATCCATTTCTGTTAACTCCTGATCTCTCTCTCTCTCTCTCTCTCCCTCTCTCTCTCTCGGAGTTCTTAATTTATTTCCGTTGAATCAGTTGTTAGTTGCAATTTTTTACATTTCGAGGAACAGCTCTAAAAATAAACCATTGCACGCGCCGTCTCGCGCGCCACAACACAAAAGATCCCGCGGAATTACAACGTCCGGAGAGAGACTCGCTCACGATTGCGCCGTTCTGATTTACGATAGAAAGTAACATTTTACTATTATTGTAAGATTATTACATCGCTTTAAAACGCCGCAGCTGCCGCGCGTCTTTATTATTACGCGACGGACCTTGTTTCGCTATCATTAATCAATCACGCAGAGTGGACGCACACAGACAGACACGTGCGCTTTATGTAACACGTGTCGTAGGGACACCGCGAGTAACTCCAATTACGCGATCGTTTGCTACGTCGTTTAAACATCTTGACAGAGCCCGTTTGCTCAGCCATTTTCGATGTGACAGCGCTTAGATGTTTAACGCTTGGTTGCGAATGATTATTAATTAGTTGTGTGGAAGATCAAGTTTTATACGTAATATCTTAATATATTTTTTATATATTCTATATATTTTATATATTTTTTATATATTGTTATTTGTACTTCATATTAGATTTTTATTTCGCGCTTCTTCTTTTACAATTTTAACGTCATTTTTATGGATCAGCTCTAACAGATGTAGATTGTTCTCGTCATAATCGGCTTCTCATGATCCTTCATCTCGCGATCGACTCGATATTGTCGACGATCATATCCTTGTCAGAGAGATCGGTTATCTCCGGAAGAGCAATGCAAATCAAATCTTCACAGCTGTCACTTCATGTCACTCCGAAGTAGAGAGAGATAGATAGAGAGAGAGATACGCTAACATAATTTTTTCTCTCTCAATCGCTTTCATCTCTTTTGACGACTGAATCAGAAATCTGATGCCTCCTGACGGAGATTTGTTATCTCAGCGCGATGTAATACCGTCGCGATACAGAATTAACATGTCGTCGCGATGATATCGTGAATGATCTTGCTGTACGATGTCTTGTTCGCAGACTGTAGACTCATCTCGAGACTTTCTAAAAGGAGACCGTCTAGAATAAATCGAATTTGTTGACACCCGACGAGACTTCTTCTGAAAGGGTGAAGAAATCGAAACCGATTATACCGCGCATCGCTTATTCTCACTTCTGGTTGAACTTTCACCGCGGGCGGTGCGCGACATTCGTCATGTATCGCCGTTTAGCACGTGAGTCGTGTTCTAAATGTGTTACGGCAACCACGCGTAACCGCAACTTTTACATAAATCTCTTCCCGGCGCGCGAACTTTCGGTCAAATCGTTCAAAGTTTATCCCCGTAAGACGAAGAGAGAGAGAGAGAGAAAAAAAATGTGTAACCGGAAGTTCCGACGTTATATCGAAAGAGGGATTTTAAGTTTGATTCTCAATATCATAAAAATCTGATTTAAATATTTTTCGATGTTAAACTCTTACAAAAGTTGTACGAATGTCAACGAATTAACGCATTACACATAAGATAAATGTCCACGAACAAAACAAATAATAACAGAACAACAATAATAAAAATAATTATTTATATAAATATCAATTGTGACAATTTTCAATATTTTCAATATTTTTAAGATATAATTTTAATTATTAGTTTCTAACTTCGTTGTAATTATTTTTTTAACGAATGTCTAGTTTGTTTGGGATATTTACGACAATCTTTTCGGTTAACGACAATCTTTATTGCTTGCGGTTGGAGAAAGCGCGCACGATTTTACGCGAATAGTAAATTCGCGGAGCGAAAACGTGTAACCTCGCCCTCGTTTTAGCCGTGCTGTTTTGCGCCGTATTTCATAAACATTATAACAATCTCCGCGTTTGACAAAATATTAATCTGAATATGTATTAGAGGATGTGTATGCATCGGCACCGGATACATCGGCGTGATATCGTCGCGGCGACTCTCATAATGTTTATTAATAGTACCATAAATTTGATTATCCGGCCCCGATTAATTCCATCTATCGCAGTCTTATTTGCTCTCGCGATTCAACAAATATCGATTATAATCGCGCCGTCGATTCGAAATTACTGCCGCAATCAAGAAACACGATTCGCGGAATTTATAACCGAATTATGAAGCGGCCGCTTGGTATTAATTATCAAATTAAACGCGTTTGCGTACGCAACATATATGTATATATATATTTATATATACGCACATATATATGTACATATATGTATATATATATATGTACATATGTACATATATACATATATACATGCATGCACACCTTCGTAAACAATTTAGCGTAATAATTGGCGTACGCGAATATTCGCGTAGACGAGCAATCCGTGCTTGTTTACACGCTCGTTCACTTTGACGACTGCAACCATTTTGCACACCGTAAAAAAACCGACAAATAAAGCAAAATAAATTAAAAGGGGGGGGGGTATAAAAAATAGTGGAAAACAACGAAGATTGATTAAATAATTCCCGACGTATAATTCGCATTCAATCGTTTAATTCAGGTGAGGTAATAACGCGGGACACGCCGGAGTCACTACATAATTACTGTAATACGATGTGTGTATAATCCATCTGCATTGTTAATGCAAACTACTCGTGCTACGTAGAAAGCATTATGTATATTCGATATTTTTTTTATGTTAATAATAAATTCAAAACAAATATTAATTTATGAAGAATTTTTAATGAAAATTATGCGACAGATAGATGTTGTTTTTTTTGTTTTTGTCTTACACACATTTCGCTTGGTTATTTTCGTGTTTGATTGATGAAAATTATTTTCTCTCTCTCTCTCTCTCTCTCTCTCTCTCTCTCTCTCTCTCTCTATGCTTGTGAGTCTTCGGTTCTGAGAAGAGAAGTAATGTGATTGACAATGCGGCAGTGAGAATCACGCTATCACTCACTTATATAACGATTCGTCTTTCCCTTCCGCTACAATGGCCATTTCTGACCCCGATTTTCCTATTACCGCACGCACACGTGTGTGTCCCACACCCAACTTTACAAATTTGCTATTCCCACGTTCTCGCGTATAATTTACTTGCCGACTCGCGAAGTAGGTAAAGAAAGACATACGTAATGAGAGTGCATATGCGATATCTGCTTTTCACTTTACGCAGTTGCTTCTGTCGTCAAGAGACAGCGATGTATTTTTCATTTGCATTATCGAACAATTTATTTCACCACGTTAAAAGCAAACAAAGCGATTTATATGTGCGAGGAAAAATACTCCCGAGGAAAGAATAATTGCATCACACTTGTATATATTAAGTACATCACGTTTATACAAATGTTTTATACACACGATACATTTATACAACATTTATATTACATACAAATGTTTTTTTTTTGTCCGACTAATACAAATAACGGATGACTGTTCGATGCGACGTAGTTAAGGCTGAGTTAACAAAAAATAAACAATTTTTCCCATCAGCGATTTACACTCTGTTTTTCTCCTCCTTGTAAGGATGAGCGGCTATCCAATCGAGAGCGCGTTGGATGAGAGGAGGAATTTCCGGCGGAGACGGCGGGGTCGGCAGATGCGGCCCTTGGAAGGTGGCGCCGTTCTCGTCCGCCAGCCAGGCGAGATTAATTTTCTGACCGTCGGGCGCGGTCCACGAGGCCGAGCCGCGCACCTCCTCAGCTTCCTTGTCTTTCTGGCCGGTGTTTTTCTGAACGCCTTGCTCCTCGAACGTTATCCCGTTGGCGCTCTCCCACTTGAGAAAGTAACTACCGTCCGGGCTGATGTCCTGCTCCTGTCTGACGATGGCTATCGGCTCGTTCGCCGCTGATATCACCGCCGCCAGGCCCAACAGGATGATCACGCGCGGATTCATTCTATCGGATCGCATTGAGAGACGAGCAAAGAATAGATTAGAGAACTCGTTTTTCGACGGCTTTTAACACGGCTTCTAATCAGATTCTCGTCGAATTTCTTCTCGCGAAACTCGATTTGTAATTTCGCGTAACAAGCAACAATTCTCAAAGCAGCTTTTTAACGCAATTACAAAAACTGGTACACAACTTTACCCAACAACCCAACAAAGATAATACGCATAACTTTTGTTTTGGTTGCTTAATGTATATTTAACAGGTTAGAATTTTCTTGCGAAAACACACAGCGACTTTACTTACTTACGCCAAGTGATAATAGAGCAACGTAAAATGAAGAAATTTAAATAGTTTTAAACCGTACTTAAACCTCTCTTCCGGATAATTATTACCGAAGTATTATTATTACACAGTTGCAACAACGTAATTATTTACTTACTTGAGTGGAGACGTGTACAACAAGAACGACTCTTGGAAATCTTCCTCGTCAACTGCTTTTAGTTTTGTAGATATTGCATGCACGGTACTACTGACGAGTGTTTATCCGCGGCATCTTCCTTTTATATAGATAGCACAGTGCGCCCTGTACTATCGTTGGGTGTATCGCTTCAAATGCCACTCGATGATACCGGTTCGAGCTTTATTACAGGTCGGCGCATACACTATAAAAGAGAAACGCTTTTTCTTAAAACTTTTATACCGCATATTTGCAAGACACACACACACACACACTCGCCTCGGTAACTTTTATGCTTTGTATTTTACTTTATTGCGGCTGTGTCTCAGTATTATTACTAATTCAACTATATTGCTATAACATTTTGAACGTGATGCTCAATTTTTCAGATCGGCGAGGAAAAATCGCAAACGTACTCCGCACGGTGAAGGACACATGTGTGTATGCACATAATAATAATGTATAATAAATAATTTTGAAATTCAAATTACATTTTTAAGCAAAAGGTTTTCAACGCGTTATAATTATTTATGCGCGTTCTGCAAATATGCATAAACAGATGCAAAGTTCAAGTACGTTGCAAATGCGGTACGTTGTAACCTTTGAGACGCATGTTGTGTACCCACTCACATTTTTCCTCGGGATTCCTTTCGATGCGCTTAGGTGCGCTTAGATGATTTTTTTTTTTTTTTTTTTTTTTTATTGTTAACGCCCGACAGCTACGGTGCGCGTCATCTGCGATTGATCGTGTTGTAACTTTTACATACAACGAGTCCTCTTTCCGAGTCGCAATTTTCGTGTAACGCTCAATTCTTTTTGTACAGTCATTTATAATACTTTCGCAGCCGCGCGTTTTATTAAGCCATTAATTAACTTTAAACTGTCGTTGTCGGATTCTTTTTTTTTTTTTTTTTGATAAAAACTTTCAGTAAAATATAGGATTGCATGAAAGCGGTAGTGAAGTCTCGTGAATTGAGTAAATCAAATTGAATCTCCGCGCGACCGTGCAAATTTTATGAAAATTAGAAACGGTGCCAATGCATGTGACGCGAAATGTCTTGGAAGAGTTGGAATCGTATATATTTCGAAAATTCATCATGTATTTCGAGAGATTACTTGTACAATGCAAATTTGTAACAAATCATTGAATTATCGTGTCGACGACACATAAATGTGATATACTTCAACATATTCTACATTTTATTTACAGACACTTGTGATATATATATATATATATATATATATATATATATATATATTTCTAGCGTAATATTTAATACTTTCAACAAGCATGTTATATCGATCTTTCCTCAATCTGTTTCGTGTGAATTAATCGTCATACAAGAGTAAAATCACACGGAGGTCTCTTCCCGACACATTTCACATGATATAATAATATGTTTGTAAAAGTCATTGATTTTTAATAAACATTATAAGTGTTAAAACAACTTTTTTGCTGTACGCGTCGTGAGATACGTCAAACTTTTGCCTATATATTAAAGCGGAGGCATTTTAATATTAACATTTACTCAGTGCAAGATAAGCAGACTGAAAATGTACACGAAGCGAAATTGCATAATGACGATGGCGGGAAGATGCGCTCGCGCACTTTTTAACCTTTTCGTGGCTGAGCGAGCGCGCGGCACGAAAGAGGAAACATTTTTCACGCGTACTATCGTGGCTATTATTTGCATTCTGTCGTTTCGAGTTTACGGCCGGTGTGCAAAACGTAAAGACCGCAGCTTATTCTCTGCGATTTTCTTGTATTCGCGAGATTATTTGTGTATACACCAATTTTATAGACTCGCCAATTTTAAAGATTCGAAGTATCAAAATAATATATTTGAAAGTACGTGCCCTCGTTATCAAGCGTGGAAGGAAATAAGAATCTCGTAAAAATACAACAAAGGTGGAAATAGTTTATTCGATGGACTGATTTACAAAGAGAGCCTCATTTTCTCAGACTCGATAAAATTTTTATTTTGGAATAAACTCTGGGCAACAAAATAAAAAATGTCTATAAAAATATTTAAAATGATAAGTTTTGAACACGAAATAACAAAAATAAAGCTTTTACAATATAAATTTTGTATTTATTTCGTCGATTGATCGATTAATAGAGAGATAAACAATGTAACGAGTAATTTAATTTATATATATATATATATATGCATATATATTTTTTGCCAGTTAAATAATTAATTGGAAAACTATATTGTTATATTATTAGCGCGCACACACACCCACACACATACAGAATTATTGTTAAACGAGATAGAACAATGGAGTTGAGAAGGGTAAAGCGTTGAGATTACATGAAATAACAATAAAATTTCCAACTTGGGCAAAACGCTTTTATTTATATACAAAAATCACAAGTTAAGTATACATATATACTATTAACGATCGACGACGACGCGTGCAAGCGTGTTCGACAACGCGCGTGTCGTTCTCGTTTCTTACAAATGTACGGGAGGCGGGACGGGCGCGCGCCATCGGGCACGGGCGCGCCTTCCTCGAGAAACTGCTGAACAGTGCGCTTTATTTATTTTTTTTTGTTTGTTTCATCATCTATACAGGTAAGATAAAGAATTTATATCGCGATAGTATATAGCTTATTAAATACCGTTGTCTCATGCCTTGTCTTACAAGTGTGTGTGTTACGTTTTTTTTGTTTTTTGTGTATATCCTAGATTAATATACCACACTATATTTATTTTTATGTGTTTGCGTCGAAAGCTCGGGGTCGGTTCTATCCATGGCAAGCTGGCTCGGAATCAGGTCACGTTTGAGGTAAAGTTGGACTGATTAACCTGCAACAGAAAGAAATACCGGTGAGAGGGACAGTGTCTGAAATATTTAACAAAGAAACGGGGTGGTTTAGGATCGACGTAACCCGGTTACGAGTGGATAGAAAGAGAGACGGGGACGCTTTATTCTACATAACATACATAAAATATATATGTGTGCAAGCACGCGCTTGGGTGGAAATCCATGGGGATGCAATGTAATCAAAGTTTATATACAAGGGTGTATTAACCATAAAACATAGTATCCATAAATATAAACAACTATAAAATATTAAACAATACGAGGAAATGTTTCGGGTCACGTGTGTGGTTAAAGTTAAATAGAGAGAAAGGGAGAGAATTTTTTTAGATATTTCAGAATAGAAAAAACTGCGCAATTGCGGGTGTTCCCGCCGTTAACTCTCAATGTGTCTCACTTTGTTAAAAGGATCCGTTCCGGATTGCAGGCGATGGATTCGGACAGAGCTATTATCGGCGAAATATGGAGCCTTCCGGCGTCGACGGCGCGTATCTCTCTATATACGAAGTAACCCGATTTTATCTTTTAAAAGCGGTTAACGTACGTCGAAATTGTTTTCGTTTCCCTGTGCGCGCGGTCGCCACAAAGATATTTTCGGTTCACCGGTACGGGGTGAGGGGAGGGAGGAGGAGGGCGAACCGCCCGGATTCGCGAGGGTCAATTTCAATTTCGAGTTCGGGTTCCAAAGTGAATTAAACGACGGCCACAGAGCGGGGTCTCGTGAGCCGCCGTCGACTGCGCGGACAACGATTGAGTAAACTGATTTACTCCTCTCTGGCCACCGGTTTGTCAGAAACACACAGAGGAATGAGAGAACGTCACTTAACGCACAGGAAGATTTAAATGGTTGCTTGAATCAAAACGGATTACCGCGATATAACGCGGCGATTGAGAATCATCCGATGTACGTAAATCAAATTTTCGCGACGCGTGGGATCTGTTCCCGTTTTTTTTACCGCCACTTTATCTTCGAAAGTCGTGTGCGTTTCGTCGTGCGCGATGTAATTCGATTAATGTCAATGCGCTCTCTCTCTCTCTCTCTCTCTCTCTCTCTCTCTCTCTCTCTCTCTTTTTTTCTCCCTCTCAGACGTACATGTACGCGACGACCAAATTTTAGCAGAAAAATCCGTGTGCTTTATCAAACCGTCTACTCCGGATAAAGGCGAACTCTTCCAATTACGAAATCAATTAAACTTCTGGTTTTACGGAAGAATTTTTTTTTTTTTAATAGAATTTTCATTTCTACGATGCATCAATTGTGTCTCACACACGATTGTACGAATAACATCTCCCTCGCGGATTGCAAGTGCCGCAAGTACACATTGTCCAAATTAAAGTCGCGGGAGAACGACTTTGTGTGTTGTGATTATTAATCTTTGCTAATTACATTTCCCGAACACGCGAAATATTGCGCATTGTTTCGCATGATATTTACGCTCTCGCCAACATTGTTTCGCGAAAGTATGTCGTTAAACAGAAATTTGTTTATTTAGTTTTGCGTTGCACATAAGGATTTATTTACGCAAATATATTTGTGGGAAATGCCGCGCGCGCGTCTCTTTATCGCGTTGAGCACATTCGTGTGTGAAATATAATTTAAAAGCGCGCGCGCGTGTGTGTCGCACTTGTGCAACGAAATATTCAGCGAAACTTAAAAATAAAATTTCAAAAAATAATTCAGAATGTGAGAATTCGAAGATATTAAATTTTTCATTATATTTCTCATTTTAACGCGAATTTCTCTCACCTCTTCCCGGTGGTGGTCTCTGACCGCCGTCATCTTCCTCGGGGTGAGCGGCGTTCCATTCGAGCGCCCTTTGGATTTCCGGCGGGATGGGCGGCGCCGTGGGGATGTGCGAGCCCTGCACTTGGAAGCCGTTCTCGTCTGCTAACCACGTGATGCTGACCTGTTGGCCGTCCGGCGCCACGTACGAATCCTGTCCCTGCGAGACCACCGGCGTCTCGTTGTCTACATTTTTCGGCTGGCCCGACTCCTGATGACTAATACCGTTGCTAGTCTCGAAGCTGCGCGAGAGAAACGAGCGAAATCGATATAAAACAAATTACACAGAACAAACAAAATGTAAAAATATCTTTCTCGTTACTCGCTTTTATACGCGGCAGTATAAAACATGTTAAAAATTATAATTCATATGAAACGTACGTCGCGCAACAGAAAAATTCTCTGATTAACTTTATCGAAGAGTGCGTTTCTGCTGATAAAAAAAAAGTCAAGTTACTCTGTACGAATAAATTGACATTTTAGTAACTCAATCGAGCTGTAACATAGCCAACAAATCGTATTGTCACTACAGCGCGCGATGGAATTTCGAGGAATGCAATTTGCAATTCGCATGAAGAAATGTGGATTTAAACAGACTTTGGGTGAGTCGAGGTGTGAAGAAGAAAAACAGACACATCACAGAGAAGACAAGTTCTCAAGCGCGGTAGCGCCGCAACTCCTCCCACTCGCGTCACATAACAATAGGAGTTATGCAGTAGACAAACAGTCGTGGGCGACAATTGGCAGTCGCGCGAATAAGCCGGTGTCATCGGCTATCTTTGCGCGAGCATATTACGCAGGTGCCGACCTTCTCCCGGTATCTCCATTGTCTTCCTCGTCTGTTTACGACCGCGGTAGGCGAAAAGGATGCGAATGTTTTTGTGGGTGTAACGCGCGTCACGTTCGCAAATGTTACAAAGATTTTTTTTTTTTTTTTTCGAAGACGATGTTATTGATTTGCTAAAATGACGACGGATGTATCGATGACGGTGCGACTTCTCCTTCATCGTTGGAAAAAGATCTCGATAAGACGATTATCCAACATGGTTATATGCTCGTTTAACAAATCCCGACGATTATTTTTTGAATATAAAAAAGAACAACAAAATACATTAAAAATATGTTGAAAAAAAAAATATTGCAATACACTTACTTGTTGACGTAGTTGCCGTCGAAATTGACTTCCAATTGTTGAGAGGTAATTACCGCATCCTTATCCGCGCCACCTGACGGTCTTTGTGGTGCGCTTAACGTACCCGTCGTACAGAGTACGACCGCCACTAACACCTGTTAACAAATTTTTCCACATTAGGGAGTTACTTAGCGACACTTTATTTTTTGTTTTATAATAAAAAATCTCTTCTATATTAAAAATTATCCTCTAAATAAACGAGATATTTAAAATAAAGTTCCATCGTCAATGAGAACGCGAGGTCTCCGTTGATAGAGCGGCGCTTTGTCACAGCTGGAACTTGCGGAATTTAAACTCATCGCGCTTCGCGAGCGCGAAAAATCTCGCCGTTACCTCACGTCGCGCGCGCGCGCGTAATGTCGGTTTAATGTCTCAATGCTGGCGGACCGTAAATGCGCGCGAGCGACGTTTTATTATCGCGTCGAAAACGAAAATAATCTTCACGGTAGTCCCGACGACGGGTAACCCGTATATTACAGAGAAAACCGTGAAATATATTCTTTCGCGCGGAGAAATGAACGAAAACAAAGAATTCGTCTCACTTGTTAGTCGCACGCTGAAAAAGCGTTCACCTTTCTCGACACGACCTTAAACCCCCCCATTGACTCTTTGAAGAATCCTTCGAATTTCATCGGTATTACACCGATAATTCGCGATGCAAAAGTGGAAGATTGCGATCGAGATTGCGCCTAGGCGTACTTTCGAGTTCGTGTCGCGAGAGAGAATAAAAGGTAAGATTCGACACACACAACAATGGGTCGTAGCCGGTCCTCGAACAAAACCTTTCGGCTCGCTCAAATATTCATAGAATTCGTGAAAGTACACGCGAAATAGGTCGATTCTGTGTGTATATATATATGTGTGTATATATATATATATATATACGTGGCTGGGCACGGTTGCAAAGGGCAATCTAACTCGAGGACGATAATGCTTAGAAACTGCACGGCGCGGTTACGTCAGTTGCAAATGACATTATGAAATACGGCGTGTAATGACAGGACGAAAGTGGTGTCGAGCATTCGCGCGCGCGCCCCGTTTTTCTCCACATGAAGTGAACGTCACGCTCGAACTTCGTCCGGATCTCTGTCTAACCGGAATGTCAAAAATGTCAATCGCTTCGCGATATTCGCGCCTCTATTTTTTTTTTTTTGTTTTTTGTTTTTTGAACTTGGAATTTTTTCGCGTAATTGCATTACGCGCACTTTTGGCGACAAAGCGCGACGGGAACTGTCAAATAAAATTAAAACAGATCGAACAATCGACGCGAGGGTGTTACTCGCGTCACGCCCGCCGTGCGAAAGATATCATTTTCGTCCGCGCGGATTCGCAAATTTTGACCGTTCACGCGGTCAATTTCAATTAATAATAAAACGGGTCTCTCTGCGGATTTGCGAGCCGAGTCGGATCAGATTTTTTGATCAAAACACCCGACGAGCGCACGCGCGCGATGAACAAAACGCGCGCATCAGTAGAATCGTTTCGATTGATTTCCCGTTAATCGAGCAACGAGCGATTAAAGAGCTCGCTCCGGAGCTGTCACGTGTAATTTACAATAGTTCGTGATTCTCTCGTTCATCCGCGTTAATCAACCGATAGGAAAGGCGCGCACATACTCGCGCAATTTGGCCACCGTCAAAATGTAAAAGCGACGGAATGATTCATTTAAATCTTTCTCGGAAATCGCTTCTCTCTGACGGTTCGCGACACGTGCGACTGTCTTCTTCAAAAAGTTCTTTTATTCAAATTTAAAATCGCATCCTCGTTACAATATCTTCTCTCTTGGAAAGATTAAAATCGTACTTTCTTGCGAATAAGAGTTCGAGGGAGCAATTAAAATTGTTTCGCAAAAACTCGCCAAGCCAAGAGAGTAAAGTTTGATACTTTCATTTTTCTCATCTCCACCGCAAGAGGAGAAAGATCGATACTTTTACGGCGAGGAGCGCAACTTCTACCCAGCCCCTTCTCTGTGTGTCAGATAATGCGCGAGAGTCTCTTCATTCGCAAGAAATCTACTTATGCAAAACACGTCCGATATCGGGGATCGACATTTCCTTTCCCGTTAGCCAGTCAACCGGAGATCGGTTAATTGCCTCTCGATATGCGCGCGATTTCGAGGGAGCCAGAAGGCCGACGTTTGTTAACGATCGCGTTGTTACGAGACGCGTTTCTCAAGGCACACACACCGCTCAAAGGCGCATCTCTGATTTTCTTCTTTTTTTTTTTCTTCTCTCCGAGATCGGTTGCGAACATCGCGGGATCGTTTCACGCCTCGTGGTCGCGTAATCTTTATCTCGGCAAACAAATCGTTATCTAAAAAAGAATGCTAATTGATCGGGCAAGCCCGTTATTAAGAGACCGGGACGAGGTAAATCTTGCCGCGTGTTGCCGGCAGAGAGCGACGAAAATTACAGCGTTTTAATGACGGCGTCGTGTCGAGCCGCCGGTTTCTGCGTGACGTGCAATAACCGCCGCGAATTATGGAGAGAGAGAGAGAGACGAAAACAATGCGCAATTTGTCTCTTCCACATAAAAGAGACAGCGGGTTAGGAAGCAATTCTTGACGAAGTCGCGCGTTAGCACAGTGGGAGAGATCGTGCGATATGTAACCCGTAAAGCTGAAAAGTAACTTCGATCTTTCGTCAAACAGAACGTGAATGCGATCGAAGTTTCATCCTCGGGCGAGAATCCCGTTGAGTTTTATCTGAAGGTTCAATTTGTTGTAACAATCGAGATAATCGGGAGACTTGCATCTCGTATAAAAATAACTGACAACCACTGGCGCGAAGTAATATTCTCGCGAAGGGGAAACCGATCGTGTTGGAAAATAATAAAATATTATTAGCGGCGAGATCGCGGCGAGGTGGAAATCTTTGCGCGTATCGCCGATATTACTTTCCTATATACGCGCTCGCGATGGGGGGCTGACATTGAGGATTCCGATTTCAATGACGCTCTCCTGACGTCGAGGCAGGAATGCCGCACGGATGTGCATTTCCGTTTCGTATACCGCGGAATACCTATGCGAAATCGCTCGTTCCGCAATGTATCGCGCGCAAATACACACGTAAACGCGATGCGTATTTGGGAATTTACATTTCCAAACGTAAATGCGATGTAAATAAAATGTTCACCTCAATAACGCGAGCGGGGAGCAAATAATGTCTGTATACATATTTTGTCGGAGATAATTCGTGTAATTAATAATTAATCACACGAGCGGTAACGCGATAAATGTGTCATCTCGCAAATTTCGAGTCGGGTCGCCTCGACGCGTGTCGAAGTTCTAAAACGGAGAGAGAGAGAGAGAGAGAGAGACGCGCGAATATTACCATTCGTAAGGAAGATGACGTAACTTCGTCTCTCAAGTGTTCTCATTCATTATCGGCAATTATATTCCGCAATTTCATATTTTATGCGCGCGCCACGTATCGCGAACGACGCACGTAGCGTATTTACAAACGATATTGTCTGTTGAAATTGTTATTACAATCGCAACCCTCTTACGAGCCACGAAGCCGCGTGTCCCGCATCGGGGACACATTAGAGTGTCGTCGCGTCTTGGCATAAACTGGGGATCATTAGGAGCAACACAACAACCTCGAATTAGACGGCGGAGGAGAAGAAGCGGCACGACGACGGTGGCGCGTTGCAAAAAAAGGATGAAGAAACCGCGCGAGTCATGTGCGACAACAAGTGGCGCGAGATGACGACGCTTGTAAGTGCAACGACGAATGCGCTATTATTATTATTATTATTATTATTATTAGTTTTAAAGTTCGTCTACTAAGCGTCGCTTAATTCAATCTCGATTGGGGAATTCACGACGAGCGTTAACATCCTCATTATTATGCCGTATTAAATCTGGTTGTCTGATTCTAATCTCACGCCTCACGTGTCTTGTACAGAATCCAACGCGGGGGATTTCTCGCGCTGAATGCGAGAGATGAGGTCCTGGTTGCCGCGCGCGTATCTCTCGTGAGATGGGTGCGCGCGAATTTGTGAAATGTCTATTTTTTTTTTTTTTTTTGCGCGCGCGCGATACAAGCCGTTTCCGCTAAATACTGAGATACTTCCAGCGATATTCGCGCGCAACATATTTTTCTACTCGATATTTGTACTCGCACGAGCGCAAGAGCGAGAGAAAAATATACGCGCGGAATATGTGACTTATGTGAAAAGACGCGCCGGCATATTTTCACCGAACGTCGAACGGAGTCATTTCGGAGTTTTAAAGAATTTCTTCGGATTCGCGTTCTTGTGTGTGTGTGTGCGATATATGTTGCGCGAGACTACGGTATAGGCGATAGGTCTCTTGCTCTTTGCGCGATAGCGCGTACGGCGTATTTCATATTTACTTAATATACGACAACGTATCGGAAAAATTGCCGAAGTCGCACAAAGTTTATCGGTTCATTTCCGCGAACGGCTTCTCGTGAAAAATTCTGCTGATATCGAAGCCGTGTGTGCGCGCGCGCGCGCCAAAGTGAAGATCCGAATGGCGTTTAAATTTATTTTCCCGAAGCGCAGAACGGCTAGACGCGAATAAATGCGCGGGAGGTCTCTTTTCTCGCGATATAACTCGCTGAAAAAGCGATCTAACGTTCCGCCCATTATCGGTAACTACACGCAATGCGCGAAACGAGCGATTTGCGAACGAGCTGTCCCGTCGCGTACGCGTCCAATTTCCCTCGAAATTATGAGACTCACACGCGCGTTATCTCTGAGTGTGCGCGTTCGACCGATAGCGAATATTTTTAGCGCGAACAAGATCTCGCGACACACAACAAGTATTGCGTCTGACTCTTTTTTTTTTTTTCTTCACGCGAGATACAAAAATATCACACGCAAGCGTTTTCGAAACTGCGTAAAACCGTTTTCGTTTAATTAACAACCGATAAGTTTATCGCGGCCAGACTTAGTCCCGTTGCGTAAAGTCCGTCGCCTTGCTGCGCGTTTCCGGCAGAGTTCGGCGTTAATTACACAAGTGTATATACACACACACAACATGAAAAGAGAAACGCGCAATGAAAACTTGCGCAACGCGACGTCGCGAACGTCGTCTCACCGAAATGTCATCTCGCAGCCGACAAATCGCACACGCGAGCAAGCGAGCGAGCGAGCGAGCGAGATCTGAGGGCGTCCGACTTACGCTAATCACGTGACAGCGGGACATCTCTTTGGCCCCGGAGGGACCTGACATTCGTCCGTTACCTAACGCGCGTCGTTTCTCTCGCGAATGCGGTTCAAGCGCGCATGATAGATGAGTCGAAATTTCCGAGGCGAGAACGACCCGTTCTGTCTCTCGTTTGCGCGACGTTTACTCACGGCGAAAAGAAGGTACGTATGTACGCGCGGACGATAAGAGACCGACAGCTCCGTCGGAAGCGAGTAATCTCGAGAGAGAGAGAGAGAAAGAGAGAGAGAGAGATAGAGACGAGAATCGACTATCGCGCGCCCGTGTCGCGAGGTGTCGGCGAGTTGCGTGTGTTGCGCGCACACCTACCTTAATAGTATACATAATCTCTCTGTCACAGTAAGCGCCGACGATCAGAAGAGCTTGCTTGAGATGCAGATGGGTTGGTGGTACTTGTGCTTCTTCGTCAGACGCTTCGGCTCTTTATATACGCGACGATGCCAACGTGGTGCAGTGAAAGGGGTCATCCCTGCCCTCTCTTCACAATACACTTCTTCTTCTGACCAGTGCATCTTCGGAAAAATGTCCGAGATGAATCAGGAGTGGAGACTCCGTTCGTATTTCTCTTTTTTTTTTTTTTTTTTTTTTTNNCNCTCNCACACTCGCCGATCTTACTCCACCTCCGCTCCTCCTCCTCGCGTCCGGCCACGTGAACGATCGGAGATTGATTCTGGCATATTTCTCGTTACATCCGGTCCGCGTTCTTTTCCGAGAAATTAGTTCAGAGAGAGAGAGAGAGAGAGAGAGAGAGAGAGATGGAGAGAGATTCGTTGTAAATTGAAAAAAAAATTCTAATCGTCGCGGTTTTTATCAAAAGACGTATTTCAACGATCCTCTTTATTTTTAACTTTAACGTTTTATTGATACAATATCCTCAATTTGACAGTGATTCATCTCTTTTAAGAATTTTATTACTTTTTTTTTACTGAAGACCAAATACTCAAAGGTCAGAGTGTCTTAGTGTCACGTTTGAAGAAGATTACGAATAGACACTTGCGCAAAAAACCAGCGCGCTCGGCTCTTTTCATTTATCTTTCAAAACTTTGTGGAAGCTGTAATTTTATTTAAAATTTTTTCTTTTTTTTTTTCAGTAAAACCAACAATGCAGAAACTCGAATCTCTTCTATGACGTGACACGTAGACCTAATATCTCTCGACAAAAGAAAGACACACGATCTATCAACAATTTGACGTGTCAATATAAAATAATAGAAACACTTCGAAGTTGCTTTATTCGCGACGATGACGAGTGCAAAAATATGTAATGATTTATCAGTGCGTTCGTTGCATTTAGCGAATATAAACTCGATATTGCTTCTCTATATCGAGTTGAAACGTAGCGACGGAAACGCTTTGACGTTCATTCGATCGCGATTCTGCGAAGTGGAGCAAAGTGCATCGGGCCCGGCCGTCGGATGCGTGCAGGGATGCAATGTCTAGGTCGATTACAGGCCGCATCGCGCTACGGCGGCTGGTGTAACGTTGCGGTGGCGATTTCCTCGCACCATTCATAACCTCCGCGACACGTAGCACGATAGTGCGTTAGGATAATGCATGTACACGGGAAGCGCATATTTTATGCGCTCGTGTCAAGTCGCTGATAAGCCGCTTGTTGAATTTCTCCTATACAAATGATAATCCCGCAGCGCGTGAATACACACACACAGACACACGACATACAATATTTGTGTATATTTCATTGATTGTGACATTTCGTGTTTATTTCGCTCGCACATATGTACGTCTTACACTACGTACGAACGTTTATAATATGTGATGTAACAGTCTCATGTACTTGTATCAGTATTTTAAATTGCGCGTTTGCATACGTATGTGTTTTAATTGCTTTGTTAAAAAATATCGCGCGATACGCTCGTTTAATTTAATTAACACTTTCTTTTCCTCTGTATCTTTCCATCTTTTTTGCAAATCTTACGGTCGAGCATTTCTTTTTTTTTTTTTTTTAGGTCATTTGTGACATCATCGTGTAACGTCATGTTGTAAGAGCACGGCGAAAACAACTTGCCGTTTTCAGAAATCGCAGAAATCGAAAAGATTATTGCGCAGTACACCACACTGCTCGCGCATCATCATCATCTCGCGTCGTACACACATTCCTGGAAATCGAAATAACTTCGCGTTCGGGGACGGGACAAATCTCGTTTCGATATGCGCGCAATGATCGCGCGCGCGCATATCGAAACATTATCCATTTCTTTTTGCAACAACAACGCGCTGAATCCACGAGCTTGACCTTTGCGATCGCTATCGGCTACTTTCGACTTTTATGATTGTTGCCAGATCGTAAATCCGCGATTAGATTACCGAGAAAAGCACAATGAGCGTAGCGACAAATTGTAAAACGGCTTCGTAAACGATTTCTCTCGCAAGATTCGCCGAAGTCGATTTGCACATTAGTTGTTTTGTTTTTCTCAGCAACACATCGCGTTATCTTACTGCTTGTTTTTTTTTTTTTTTAATCTGAAAACATTTCCGGAAACTGTTAGTGCCACGTCTTCGCATGTTTGTTGCAACTCATTTTTTATTTACAACCAGCAGATAGATTTAAAATCGATACGAGCCGATGAATGCAAATGAATTTTTTAAACGTGTAAATTTAATACACACCTGGCAATTCAAATTGATTTTAATTCACAAATTCATCCAAGACGCTTATAGATTTGCATCTTGATATAAATTATTCATTTTACTCCCCTGTGAAAAAAATTGGAAAAAAAATCTATTGCGAAGAGACGCCTTGACCAATTTACTTATATTTTCTAAATTAAATTTATTGCGTGTGAAAAAGTTTACATCAAGTTGCGAAAATTAGACGAATACAATTAACATTTAGCAGCCTATTTTTTTTTCTTCTCATAGTTGCAATACCAAAACACACTTGGTCTCAAAACTGTTCGTTCAACCCTGACATTTGGTGTCGAAAAGTCAGCTGATTTACAAACATACTCGCCGCGATTCAGTTTTTTGTTACACCGATGCACAACACATCGCACAGTCCTTGAAACGAATTACGTCGAGGAGTTACGCGACGACGCATTTCTCGAGATCGTCGGAGGAATTGAGAGAGCGCGAGATTGCGAGTCCGCAATCGCAAGAATCGAGGGTAGTCGTTCGATTTCCCCGAGTGGTATAACCATCCGTTTCGACTTTTATCGTACGTAATTAGAGCTACGTTACGTTGCTCATATACGGGAGCTGCGCCCTTTCACCGCCGCCGCCGCCGCCGCTGGTGAGAGATTCACGATTTCGCGATCCGGCTTTTTGACATTTTCGTAACGACTCGCGGTGATGATAGTGCGAGAGAACGCGCGCGCGTGGGCGTGTTGGCGGTCTTCGCCGATCGTCTCCGCTCGCACGCTGCTCTCGAACGTTTTCTTTCGTCGAATCAGCTCAGTTTTTCTCGGAAGAACTCGCAACAATAGAGAAATGTGAAGAAACTCGATGGAAATTGGCGAAATTTAATTTATACAAAGTTGCGTTTAACAAAAACTAACAATAGTATTCTTCAAAACTCAAAACAAAAAAACTTATTAACTCACAGAAATGAGCTTTAATAGGCGAGCGGCAGCTTTACAAGACTCTCGAGTTCTCAAGGAATCGGAGATGAATAAGTTTTTTGCTACATGTCGCGGTTACTCTTGGAGAGTTTAATTCCGACTCTTACATAAAAATGAAGTTACATTCGATATCGATTTAATCCCCGATAATAGAATGAATTATCCTTTAATCTTCCGATTTTAACGATCGCGGGGATTTGCTAATTTCGAGGTTGCAATTGTGGCGCAGCTGAATATTCTCTCGAACGATTATTATTGTGTATATATGTATATATATATATATATATATATAT